GACGTGGATGGAGAGGAATTGGACGGCAGTGACATGTCAGCTATCATCTACGAGATTCCCAAGGAGCCTGAGAAGTGGGTGCTGGGATGCATGGGTCTGAGCACGGGTAAGGAGGAGCTGCAGGCTTTCAGCCCACTGGGGCTCTTTCCCCTCCAGGAGACGGCGGAGCAAGCGGTCACGGGTGATGGATGCTGACGGCCTACTGGAGATGTTCCACTGTCCCTATGAGGGCTGCAGCCAAGTGTATGTGGCTCTCAGCAGCTTCCAGGTGAGGCTACCCCAGGCAGGCCTGTGAGGCTGCATGGAGGGCTCTACTGGGTGTCAGTGTACAGGGCCTGCATCCATGAGCTCAGTCATCCCAGCTGACCTTGCTGAACATCTCACTTCCTCAGCCCTCTCTGCAGACACCAGACACAGCCACCTGGTCTGACCAGCGCCCCCAGACCACCCTCTGGGTCTTCCACAGGAAGACCCCTCAAGTCCCAGGGGCCAGCCATGCATGGGAGCCCCAGATCCTTACACAATTAGGACGCTTCTTGTAGTTTGCCTTCCGCAGTGTGGATGATACACTGGGAGCAGGCAGGGGTCTCCTCATTTCTGCACACAGAACACAGCACCGGTAGACCAGTGCATTTGCTGAGCATGTAGTAAGCACCCAGGCTGTTCTCGTGGGTTAAAGAATGAGAAACAGGAAACAGACCTGAATCACGTCCCCAGGGCAGTGCAGCACCTGTGAGGCATCAGCCAGACTTCGTGTCTCTGAGGCATCACTTTGCTCGTGTGTGCTGGGCTAGCAGCAGGAGCCTACCTAGGTTAGCTGGGGCCCAGAGCTGGGCTTGGTAAGGCTGCTCTGTGACCCCAGTGCTCCTGTCAAAGCTGGACACTGGAATGCCTCTTCCACTTTCCAGTCTAGGCTGACTGTGGCTAATGCCCCGGCTACCTGTGTGTCTCCCCACTTTATGAATGCTCAGGTGGGCCCATGGTACCCCTCTCACCCCTAGAACCACGTCAACCTGGTGCACCGAAAAGGGAAGACCAAAGTGTGCCCTCACCCTGGCTGTGGCAAGAAGTTTTATTTATCCAACCACCTGCGGCGCCACATGATCATCCACTCAGGTCAGGTGTAGTGCACATATGTAAATCCCAATGCTCAGGAGGCCTGGGCTGCACCGTGAAACCCCACACCCTTACCTGTACCTGGTTTTCATATGCAGTTGCCCCAAGTCCCAACACGGGTCACATGCTGTGTCAGGAACCGCAGCCCTTTTCTTACCTGATGTGACTCCAGCAGGCACAGTTCTCAGGGTTTTGGGGTGGGGGGAGCTAGCTCCTCGACACCACCTCTATTGGGCAGTATCCTGAGGCTGCTGCCACCCCCAGGCGTCCGAGAGTTCACTTGTGAGACCTGCGGCAAGTCTTTCAAGAGGAAGAACCATTTGGAGGTGCACCGGCGCACACACACGGGAGAGACACCCCTGCAGTGAGTGTCAGGGTGCTTGGAAGGGGGCGCTTGCGTGGTTGCAGGGGAGTCTTAGCCCTCAGTGACCTGACCTGGCTGTCCTGCCACACAGGTGTGAGATTTGCGGGTACCAGTGCCGGCAGCGTGCATCGCTTAACTGGCACATGAAGAAACACACAGCAGAGGTGCAGTACAACTTTCCGTGCGAGCGCTGTGGAAAGCGCTTCGAGAAGCTGGACAGCGTCAAGTTCCACACGCTCAAAAGCCACCCGGACCACAAGCCCACCTGACCCACCAGCGCCCACGGACCTCAGCCTCTATTTATTTGTACTCTTGGACATCATGCCCAAGATAGCCATTGGGGCTGCCCCAACCGCAGGCCGGAAGGAGGTGTTCCCCATTACCCTGGGCAGGTGCCCCACCCTGCCCCATCACGTCCCACCCATGGAGCTGGCACCTGGGACTGCACTGCTGAACTGTGTCAAGAGCACAGAATGAGATTAAAGTGAAAAGGAAATGCCCTTCTCCTAGGCCTGAATAGTTGTGGGGGCTTGGCACCCCTTTGTAACCAATTAACCTGCTCCCATCCTGACCAAGGCTGAGTTGGGGAGGCTGCATTTGGATAGCACACAGGGACGTTTTCCTGTTCGCCTCTGCTCCCACAGGGTGAAGGTGGGGGGGCCAGAATCCTGATGCCCACACCCCTCATGTCTCAGAATATTGATTCCTGGCCCAGAGAGCTGTGGGAGTTGCTAAGCTGTGAGACACACATTTGGGAACACCCAAATGAGGTATCTACACTGGAATCAGGCAATGGGCAGAGAATGGAGTGATGGGTTGGGTTGGGGGGGGGGTGGGAACTTCCCTGTGCCAGAGTGCCAGAGTCTATTCCTGTATGCGAGAATGACTGTTGTGTTCCTGGAACAGGACCTGGCCCCATTGCGTACAGGGAGATTCGTAGGGAAGGAGGCGCCACCACCAGGTGGTGCGCGAGCTGTATGGACCCGGGGTGGTTGCTGCCTCGTGACCCGAGGGAGCACAGCCGCTAGCTCTGCCCCATGCCCCTGGGAGTCCTGCGGCGCCACCCGCAGATTGGTCCCGATGGGGTGGCAACAAGAGTCAATTCCCGCGTGGTCCGGAATTGAGGGGCTGGTCTAAGCGCTCCAAGAGCCCCTTTTCTTATTCGCGCAATAGCAGCAGGCAGTTTCCATGGGAACCGCGGTGGGGCCTTTGCCCCAGGAAATAGCCTCGCAGCAGACACTCCCAACCGAAGGGAACGCGGGGTGTGTGTGAGGGGGGGCAACGTTTGGGGTGGGGGTGAGGGGTCCTGCATCGGCAGCCGAGTTGCTCCTCAAACCCCCCCCCCCGAGGAGTCACTTGGGAACCTGCTCTGCCACCACCCCTTCTGTGTGGGCCACGCTGATTGGCCCACCCTCTCCAGCGCGGCAGCACCTTCGGTGTGTGCTCTCTCATTGGCTCAATCTCCAGGGCATCTTGCAATTGGGCCTCTTGAGAGCCATTCCTGATTGGTTAAATCAGGCTGATTCGCATTCTTGACAAGCCGGATCGTGAAGGGGTGTACAAGAATAAGAATAGGGCCTCGGAGACTGCTCACGGGTAAAGGCATCTGCCTCCCAAGACTGGCGACCTGAGTTCGATTCCTGAGACCCACATGGTGGAAGAGAAGACCTGCATCCTCTGACCCACACACATGCACCGTGACACACACACACAAATGTTAATGTTCTTAAACAAAAAGGATATGGATAGTCTGGGGACTGTAATACTTGTGTTAGAGGATCTGGGCTGCTGCCAGCGGGCAGCGCTCTCCACCTTGTCAGACCGCTGTCTGTGGTGCTGAAGCCTTGCTGGAGCCCCAACCCGGTCTCAGGAAAGGCAGTAAACATTAAAGGTGTTACCGCTCCAATCTCCTTTAAAAAAAAAAAAAAAAAAAAGCGTGCTTCCACAGGAAAACCAATCACATTCCCAGAAAGCCAGACATTAGCCAGTTTGGAGGCTTTATCTATGGTCTCTCAGGCTGTATGACTCTAAAAGCATAGATCGTCTAGAACTCTTAGCACAAACCTCTTCATCTGCTTGAGAGCAGCGTGGCATCCCTTCCCTGGCGCCCATGTTATGAACCTTAGAGTACTTGGTACATTCAAGCCCCACAAGGTCTCCTTTCCTTCCACAGCTGATACAGTGGGACCACCCTAACTGTTTAATCACTTCTACTTTCTTCCCTCCCTCCCTCCCTCCCTTCCTTTTTGCTGTTGCTGTTCTTGTTTGGGTTTTGTTGTTCGTTTTGAGAGAAGGTCTCTGTAGCTTAGGCTGATCTGGAATTCACTATGTAGCTGATGATGACCTTGAACTTATGACCCTTTGTCTCAGCATCTCAAGTGTTGGCATTTCAGGCTTTCAGCATCATGCCAAGTTTACAGGGTGCAAGGGATGGATCACGGGTTTCATGCATGCTTGTAACTAAACCATATACCCAGCCCATTTTTTTAAAAAGTTATCACTATTTGTGTGTGTGTGTGTGTGTGTGTGTGTGTGTGTGTGTGTGTATAGATCAGAGGACAACTTTGTGGAGTTGGCCCTCTCCTTCCACGTTTAAATGGGCTCCCTCCAGGGATCAAATTCAGTTTGCTGCCCAGCATAGTGACATTGACTTTAATTCCAGCACTCGGGAGAAGCAGATGTATCTCTGAGTTCAAGGCCGCCCTGGTCTATCAATTGAGTTCCAGGACCACCAGGACTAAACAGAGAAATCCTGTCTCAAAACCCAAAAAGAACAACAACAAAAGACTCTTTCTTGCTGAGCTATCTCTCCTTTTGCTCTGCTTTATTTTATTTTTTGAGAAAGGGTCTCCTGTAGCCCAAGCTGGCCTTGAACTCCTGATCCCCCTGACTCTCCACCCCCCAAAGCTGGCCTTACAAGCATACACCATTGTGCCTGCCTTCTATTTTTCTTTCTGTTTTCTTGTCTTTTTTTGTTTGTTTGTTTGTTTTGTTTTTCGAGACAGGGTTTCTCTGTGGCTTTGGAGGCTGTCCTGGAACTAGCTCTTGTAGACCAGGCTGGTCTCGAACTCACAGAGATCCACCTGCCTCTGCCTCCCGAGTGCTGGGATTAAAGGCGTGTGCCACCACTGCCCGGGTTTTTCTTCATTTTTTAAAAAGACAATATCTTCCTAAGTATTACACAATAGCCTGGAGCTAGCTTTGTAACCCAGGTCAATTTAGAGTTTTGTGTCGCCCATGCTATCCTGAAACTACCAGCGATCCTCCTAGCTCACCACACCTAGTATTGTTTCTAATATCACCAGGGTCATGTGGAGACAAAATCTATTCACCTTGGATCTAGCAGCATGGGTCTGGGTCTTTGTCCCTTCCCAGACTTCTGCTTGTGTTTGGGCCATGGAAAGCTGTCTTTACCCCTTCAGAGTTAGGGGCTGGGTGGAAAAGGGAATCCCAGTTTGTCTGCAAAACTAAAGGAGTACTCGGGAACGGTGTCAGGGTCCCCCAGCACTGGGGAGCCAAAATCTGAGTCCTCAGCAAATTCATTCTCGGCAGGCAGAGTCCAGCCGGCGCGCACTCGCTTCCACCTGCCGCGCCGTCGGGAGCCGGGAGGAGGCGGGGACCCGCCGTCTCAGCCAATGAGCGACGCTGGCGCTGGCAGCTGCCGCTATAAAGGGCTGGGGGCGGCGGCGGTGCGACCCAGAGCGCGGAGCGCGCAGCGCGGGCCGGAGGGTGGGAGGGAGGGCGGGCGAGGAAGAGGAGAGGACCCGACACCCGGCATCCGGCACCTGAGGGCCCACCGCAGAAGGCAGAGCTGCCGAGATTTTGGTCGGGAAGGGCGACCTCTCCGGGCCCCGCGGGGCCGCGCTCTGGGCGTCCTGCACCGCGCGCCCGCTCCCTCCATCCACCAGCCGCCGGGGACCCGGCCGTCGGCGCGCGCATCCCCAGGCTCGGGTCCGTTCCCGGCCCTCGAGGGCGCCGCCGCCTCCATCACCGCCTCTGCAGCGTCCGCAGCGGCCGACGTCCGGGCGGGACACCGGCGTGAGCACCGGGCGCCCCCCCCAGGAGTGCACGACCCCCCGGAACCGCCCTCGATACGGACCGCGCCCGCCGGGCACACAAGAATGGTCACTGTAGGTACTCCCTTGTCGCTGCGAGACGGAGCCGGGAGGGAGGGGCTGGGGCTGGCTCCACGGAGACGCGGTGGGGGGGGTAGGACCAGGCCTAGCTAGGCCTGGGTGGGGGGTAGGACCGCGCCTCAGGCCTGAGAGGGTAGAGCCGCATCCGCGGTTCTGGGGAGCACAGCGTTGCCTGAGAGGACTGGGGAGCCCAGCTGTGTGCGGGGTTCCCTCGACTACCCCGGGGTCGGGATGGCCCCTCTCTGGAAGGCTGTGGGGGAGGGGCCGCGGCGGCGGAGGATGTTTCCAGCATCCCAGGCCCAGACTCGCAGGCCACCCAGGAGGACGCGGGCCCGATGGCCTTCTGTTGATCCGGGCGGAGGCCACACGGCATTCTCCGAGAGCTTTTTTCGGGGGCGGGGGGAGAGGCGGGGCGCCATCGGATCGCACTACCCCTGGCCCCGGCCGCGCCCGAGAGGCGGGCATCTTCGTCCTCGAGCCCCGTCGACCTTGCGGCAAGCGGGGAGGGGAGAGGAGGGGGCTCCCCGAGGCCTCGCTACTACCGCCGTGGTCCCTTTGTCTCTCCGCCCTTCTTCGCGGGCCGTAGCCTCGCGCGGGGCCTCGGGGCTACGGGGGGGGGAGCAGGAGGGGGGCTTCCCGTTCCCCAGCCGCTGTCTCCAGGTGAGGGGGTGAGGGGCTGCAGCAGCATCCCATCGGGCCTGCCGCACGCGCCCTCACCGGGCCAGGGCTCCGGGCCTCGGGGTGACCTTGAACGCGCCCGCAACTCCGCCGCTCTTGGCCGGCGCGCGGTCGCTTTCAGCAGCCTCAGAGCTGGTCAGCTCCCGAACTCACGGCCCCGCCCGGCGTGCCACGCCCTGTCGTGCCACGCCCATCCAGGCCCCGCCCCAGGCCCCCAGGACCTGGGCTAGAGCGAGCCCTCGGACCTCCACCCGGCAACCCGGGCGTGTCCCGGGGCGGGGCTGGCCAGTGCTCACCGCACCCTGGCTCCACCCCCGCCTCCCTGAGCGACTAGCTCCCCGCGCTACCGCGCGTCCTTTGTCTGGTCCCCGCGCCCAGCCTACCTTTTCTGCTCTTCGGAGATCTCTCCCTGTGTGTCTCCCGGCTTCTTTTTACGAGTCGTGGCTAGTACAGTGGTGATCGGGAAGCTCAGTAGTCCATCCTGGGTTTCCTCTCTCTCGGGCCCTGGGACTAGTCCACCTGACTCTAAGAAAGGACTGCCTCCTCCCTGACGCTTTCCCGAGACAGACTCATCGTGCTGTGTGTCCTCAGGCTGGTTCCTTACCATCTCTGGGCCTCAAGGTGCTCATTCAGGTCTGAGAACAGGAGTGTGGCCTCCTGGGGACCCTCAGAGCCCTATAACAAAATAGCACCCCCTAGACTTCCCCTCCTCTGTTGTTCGGCTTGAAAAGAATGTGCAAAAAAGAAGAGGGTGTGGTCAGAGGTTACAGCAGGGCCTGGAGCCCCTTGCAGGCCTGGAATTCCCATGGGTGCTGGTAGGGGCCACTAAGAAGGAGGAAGTGAGGAGAGAAACCGCGAGGGCCCCTAGCAGAGGTAGAAGGAACAGGGCTCAGAAAAAGGAGCTCAGTCTGCACCACGTGGTGGCCTGACTTGCCTTGCATAGATAGCCATTCAATGCCCTATTGTCACCAGTACCCAGGCATCTGTCACTGTGACTGGAGCCCAGAGGCCTCGCTGGAGGCCACGGGGGTCTGAGGAGCCAGGGGCTTTAAGTGCGTTTTTGACAAATCCTTGCCTCGGTTGTGTGTGTTGGGGGGGAGCAGTGGGAAAGAGAGAGTGAGGAGAAAGGAGAAGCCAAGAGTGAGATGAGAAACAGACCCACAGGAGCAGCCAGGAACAGGAGGGAGAGAAGTCCCGCTCAGTCGGTCCTTCTGATGCCAAGGGGCCACCAACCCAGGCAGCAGTTACTGCAGGCCAGGCCCAGTGCGGCTCCTGCCAATCCGATCCCCATTATCAGCTTAGGCGGCTCAGTAGGTTCAGCTGTGAAAGGAACACCAGGCCCGGGAGAGGAGGGAGAAGTGGTGAGAGGAGCAGCTGGCAGCAAAGCCCGCAGAGCTAGCACACCCTGGTACTCCCTAATGTGACGGGAGGGCAGTGGTAGGCACCTCCACAGAGACGGGTCAGTAGATCAGGGGTCACTTGCTGACTTGAAGCTGGGCATGGAGCTGGCACCATGGCTCAGTGGGTGCTTGCCCAAAACCAATGCCCAAAGTTGTTCTCTGACCTCCACACAGGTGCGATGGCACACACACACACACACACACACACACACACACACCTATCTAATGTAGGCTCCATTATCTCTGGCCTTGATTTCACCATCTGAGAAATGGAGCAAATGGTCTCCACTTTTCTGTATTGTGCTGGGACTCTAAAAACATGTAGTTGGGCATGGTGGCACAGGCTTTTTAATCCCAGCACTTGGGAGGCAGAGGCCAGCCTGTTTACATAGTGAGTTCCAGGACAGCTGAGGCTATATAATGTCTCAAAAGAAACAAAAGAAAAATCCAGACTCTACATGCTCAGTGTCTGACACACAGTGGGACTCCAAAAGCTAGAATGTAAGGCTAAAGACATGGAATGCTTAGCACGTGCAATGTCTTATGTTCTGAAGCAATACCTGAAAGAGTAGGCATTCAGCATTGCTTTGCTCTTTCCAACTTTTGTTTTTAAGACAGGTTTGATTTTGCATTGGGTTCCAAAATCCTGGGAATCACAGCACCGGCTACCATGCCAGTCGTGGTTTGCCATTTTTGTTTTGTGGCATTTGTTTGTTTTGTAATGCTGGAACCCAGAGCCTTGCACATGCTAAGCAGGTAACTCTGCCATAGAGCCACGCCACTGTGGCAGTTGCAGCTGCTGTTGTTATTATTGGCCTTTTCATTCTTTGAAACTAGATTTGAATTCTTTTACACTTTTAAATTCGTCTATATGTGTGTGGCGGTCAGAGGACAAGTTGCAGGGTTCCGCCCTCCTTCCACCGTGTGGATCCAGGGATGGAGCTCAGGTCTTCAAGAGTAGAGCAGGCGTCGCTCTCTGAGTTCTGGGTCTGAGTTTCTATTCTGACATTTCACCCGAGGCAATCCCTGTTTCACCGAGACTTCTCACTCGTTCAGGGCAGAAAATACCTTTATAATGTTCTATGTTGGGAGAATTTCTGCAAGTTTCTCATGAAAAAGCTGGGGACAGGGCTCATTGGCAGAGTGCCTATCTAGTACGAATGTGATCTGAGTTCAATTCCAGTACTAAAAAGGCAAAACAAAAGAACAGGATAACCAGGTCTCAAAACATAGGATATAGTATTAATATTAGGGAACTGAACTCAACCCCAGAACTCGGAGGCAGAGACAGGCTCATCACTACAGAGTGAGTTCCAGGACAGCTAGGGCTACACAGAGAAACCCCCATCTCAAGAAGAAGGAAGAGGAGGAGGAAGAGGAGGGAGAGAGAGAGAGAGAGAGAGAGAGAGAGAGAGAGAGAGAGAGAGAGAGAGAGAGAGAGAGAGAGAACTAGGGAACTTGAACCTTGCAGTGTTCACCTTCTGACAGTCGTGTCCATGACAGACATTACTAGTAAGTCCAGGGCTAGAGACTCTGAGCCGATGACTGTAGGCAGCCACTCTCAGCTGATTGGAGGTGAGCGTTGACCCTCTATGACACCCTTCCCCTCACCGTATTGAACTCAAGATGCCCAGGGCTTTTCACATGTGAGGCAAGTCCCGTGCCACTGAACTACACCCAGCCTGGGTCAACCTTTCTAGAAGACAAAGGCAGCTGGGCCTGATGGTGCACAGCCTGCTCCACACTACAGGCGAGGTGATGGAAGACCTTTTAAGCCAAGAATTCGGGAGCCATACCAAGGGCGTGGTCTGTGGCTCAGCTGGGAGAATGCTTCTTGGCATGCAGCAAAGCCTGGAATGGATTCCCAGCTGCACTCAAACCAGGCACACACACCTGCACATCCCAACTGATGGAGGGTGGAGGCTAAGAAGTTCAAGGTGAGGGACCAGGCTAAGGCTCGACAGGTAAAGGCACTTGCCTTCAAGCCAGCCAACCTGAGTTCGATACCTGGGACCCCCAATGCAAAAGGAAAGAACCGGTTCTTACAAGCTGTGTGTGGAGTCAGTACTCACTGAGGCCGGATGGTTGCAAATAACCCTGCCGAGGCAGGGGCATGGACCTTGCAGGCCTACCGTCACTCCTCACAACTAAGCCATAGCAGACTTTACTCCAGCTGCCCCGCCCTTAGACTCTGCCTCAGGCTGCTGCACCCCAACCTCAGGTTCAGCAGTGCAGAGACTTTAGGTAGCATATCTGAGAATACACAGCTGGGCGCTGTGAGCTGGCCCCGTTGTGCATGGTTGGGAGAGATCAGCAACTCTTTCACCCACCACTTTTAAGAGTTTAATTTTATGCCGGGTGTTAGTGGCGCACGCCTTTAATCCCAGCACTCGGGAAGCAGAGGCAGGCGGATCTCTGTGAGTTCCAGACCAGCCTGATCTACAGAGTGAGTTCCAGGAAGGGCTCCAAAACAATACAGAGAAATCCTGTCTCGAAAAACCAAAACAAAGCAAAACATTAACTTTGCTAGTGTGTGTGAATGCGCTGTGCACACATGTGCTGCAGCAGATGTTCTGAAGACTAGAGGACAGCTTTGTGGGGTCTTCCTTTCCTTCCACCTGCGTTAGGCTCCGGTGAAACTCCTCACACTGGCATGAGTGCCTTTACTCCTCACCTCGCTGCCTCCATCCCTCCATCAAACATTTGTTTTTTAAGATATACTTATAGTGTGTGTGTGTGTGTGCGTGTGTGTGTGTGTGTGTGTGTGTGTGCTGACTACATGCATAGTTTGTGTACATGCTTCGTGCCTGTGGGGGTCTAGAGGCCAGAAGAAGGCAGTGTATCTCAGTGAAACTAGACCTACAGTTGTGAGCTGTCATATGGCCTCTCCAGCCCTTCATCCATGCACCAGCCATT